GTACTCCATCCAAGTCTCTTCAGCATGATTGTAAGACACCTCGATCAACTGTCAGTGGATCTGTTTGCATCACCAACAAACCACAAACTACCAAGATTCTTCACCAGGTATTACCACCAGGAGTCGGAGGCAATGGACGTGCTTTTGCCTTCTGTGGCCTCGGTACTTTCCTTCCTACAGGAGGGCCTGGACATGAGCCTCAAGTCTTCCACCCTTTGCAGACAGATAGCAACCCTATTCATGCTTCTTCCTTCGTTAGGGGGGTTTGAGACTACCAAACACCCTCACATTCAGCTTTTTCTGCAGGGAGCCACAGTGAAATCACCACCGCAAATACACCATTTCCCAACCTGGAGACTGAACACAGTTTTGAAGGCACTCATGAGAGCACCATTTGAGCCTCTCAGGGAGGTGACACTGTGGTGGTTGAGAATGAAGACTCTGTTCCTGGTCGCCATCACCTCCACAAGGAGTCTCCAACCACAGGGCATTGTCAGTCAAATCATCCCTGTGCGTCTTTCACAGAGACAAAGTGGTACTACGTACCGACCCAACCTTCCAGCCTAAGGTTTCCTCCACCTTTCATTGATCGCAGGAAATCTGCCTGCCTACCTTCTGTCCTCAACCCAAACATCCCAAGGAGCTTGAGTGGCATACCTTGGATGTTAGAAGAGCACTCAAGGTGTGTATCAAGAGGATGGAATCCTGGCGGAAGATGTTCTTGTTTATTAGCATTTCTCTGCAGTGTCAGTAAACAGGGAAGCAGATTCATGATCAAGGCAGAACAGAACTGAACTTCCGGTTTTCGCCACTCCAGCGATGGCCGCGTCTCTTCGCTCCTCCAAGAGATGTGTGCCATGAATCGGGGACTAGGAGGGAGCGTGATTGTGCACGCTCCCCCATGGAGCCCATAAGCAATGGGCTCCTAACCAGGGGGCTTTGGAGAGCCCTACCCCCGGCCAACCGCCGGTACAGGGGGGCTACTCTCTGCCCCGAAGGTCCTGCCCTGATTCCCAGTATTGGACTCAAAGCGACCACCGGGACAAGCATATGTAGGTTTGGCAATTCTACTCTGCCTAGCGAGATCCCAGGGAGACCTGCTGGATCGTTTTGAAGATGGATGAGTGAGTTTAAGTTAAAGCGAGACATTGGAGCCCTGTTGCGAAGCCCCCACAAGCTAAAGCGGGAAGGGAGAGGAAACGCCCTACCCCTTCAAGCGATCAAAAGAAGCGGGACGATGGGGGACTGAGCTAACAGTAGCAAAGGATTACAGCAGAAGGACTAGATTAGAGAAATGTTTCAAATATAAGCGTTTACAGACCTTTGAGACTTTGGCGACTTTAATCGGTAAATGTAAACAACCCTCCAAGATGGCGATTGAAGGCTTTGAGGGAGGTGGGACCGAAGCTCCTCTCAGGAAGAAAAACGGAGGGCTAGGTCAGGTGACCTAGCCATAGACTCTTCCTATAGCTTATAATCGAGTGCCATCTGCTGGCTAAAGTGGGATATTTGATGGGAACGGCTCTAAACGTGGCGGTACTTTTAAAGGGACAGTTTTTACTTCAAGAAGCGGCGAATCTTGGATTATAGTCGAAACTGAGACCTTGTCTAGCTTATAAAGGATGGTTGCAAGCGGATCATAAAGCAATAACAAAGAGTTGACTACCCTTGTGCCATAAAGTTTGTATGCAAAGTGAACGGTTGGTCTCTTTAATCAGAATGTGTATGAAGCAATAAGTGAGTGAAAGTCCTGGGAAAAGGAAAGCGGTACTAACTGGACTGAGCCTGTTTCTTTAAAGCGGTTCAAGAAAGAAGATTTAACAGAGAAGGAAGAGGATTAACTGATATGACTGTATGGACTGAGAGAATCTTGGCTCCACAACGTCGTGTTAGTGGGAAGGGAGGGAAAGCGTAATGGGAGAGGTCAATGTCTTTTAAGGTCTCTATATTTCTTTTAATTAGCTTTGGAATTATTCTCTGTCTAGACAGCAAGCTGGATACTAATTGAAGCGATGATCAAGGAAACTCCTCATGCCGGAAGTTGTTATACGTTTTTATTGTTATAAGTATATGTAACCTTCTACACTTGGGCTTTTAGTGCCTTCTTCTCTGTTTCCCATAGTTTGTAGTCTCCCCCACCCTTTTTTTCATTATAGTTATGTAGTTGTTTTTAGAAATGCAAATTAAAAAATCCCCTTCGGGAGGCAAAAAAAAAAAAAAGGCAGAACAGAACCATTTGTGGATGGAAAAATCCAGCAGGTAAATTATTTCAAAAAAACAATATCCGCCAACATGTGGATCCACCTCTGTAATTCCACATGCTGCTACTGCCAGAATGACGACAGTGGAAACAAAGAGTGGAACTACCCACGATTAAGCACTCAAACAGCTCATGATTAAGTGACAGAGATACTGTAGCTTCTTTCAAACTTCAGTTTTATTCAAGAAAAGCAGAGTCCAATTCCACTATAAGTACATATCTGAGAACAAATCAAGCATAACTGGCTCTCTGGTTAGAAAATAGGTGTCTTCCCCTTTCCTGGCACTGTACACCAGCCTGGAGGCAGCAAATCATACTACAATGTCCCTTGGAAATAAACCCTCCTCTCCCATACAAAATAATCCTTCACTGGCAAGAACAAGCTACATTGCAGAACTGTCTAATGTAGTCAAGGGTAAAAAAAAAACACCCCCCCAAAATCCATTCTTAATTGATGCAATTAGCATGCCAAGTTCTAGTGCTTCTCATGACATCCAGGGGACATCACCACTAGGTGAAGCACAGTACTCCATCTAGCTATTCAGAGACAGAGAGAGCAAGAGCTGCTGGTGTAAATCAGTTCCAGTCCTGAACAAAAGCTACTTTTTGTGCTAAACCACATTTAGTGGTTCTGTGCTGAATGCCCACTCTGTGCCTGGATGTGAAGCCATAATTTGATTCACCAGTGACTAAAATCTGGTTTGAAAAGAGAACATTGACCATGAACCCTGACTAGGCCAGCTGACCTGTATTATAAAACCAACAATAAAACTGGAACCTGAAACAAAACAATATTGGCTCCAGGTACAAGCCTCCACGGAATGCTCAAAAAGATCAAGGGGGAAAAGGCAGCTTGTTCCTGTGGAGCAATAAGGCAGTAGACTAGTAAAAGAGATTCCCATCAATTTTTTCACTGATCACGTGATGACGATACCATTGTGGAAAGTTTTTTAGCACTGGAGAAGAGCTGAAAAAAAAGCCGAAGTCACACTGTCAGGCTTTCCGCTTTCTCCCAGTGTTAGAACACTAGTATTTCTTCATGTAGGCATCTCAAAACAATGGCCAATACCATCTTATCAAAGCTACCAAAAACAGAAAGAAGGGAATCTAGTAGAAAGCAACAAGCAAGCAGTCAAAAGAGAGCAGCCTCCATTCTTTAACCACTGAACTACAGCAACTGAAGAGATCTCCTAGTAATTTAAAATAGCCAATGCTCTCTGGTTTGCTTTGTGTCTCACATACAGAGACAAAAAGCTTCCCTTTGCCATAAGGAAGAGGAATGAAATCATTATCTCCGTAGTTCTGACAATGGTTTTCCATTGTGTATTAATGATAATACTGTTTATTACAAATTTGTGAGTACTAGCACCTGTGTCGAGACTCAGTACCAGCAGAACCAGCTCATACAGACCCACCGGCGAAAATCACACAATTGCAGGGTTTTATGCCTTTGAACAAGACCAAGATGCCTATTTTCTCAAGATAAATTAACTTTTTTTTTTTCCTTTCCAGGTTTATAGTTTAATAGTCTTGTGGGGAGGAGATGTCATTGGCCAAGGAAGGCTTTGACAAGAAAGCGACTTCATAGAAACAGGAGGAATCTGCAGGCAGACACTGGAAAAACAGCACCTATCTGATGTTTCTCTGTTACATTCCTTACATTCAAAGGGATGAGAGTTTAATAGAGTACCACTAAATAAGAATTCCCAAGGAATGTGCATTTTGTAACAGAATTCTTAACTCCCTCTGGCAATTCTGCTACCCAGAGAAACATCTGGTGCAGCTACACAAGTCACATTGCCGTCCCAACTGCACAATAATACACAACGTTCTGTGTTATGAACTGCAGAAATGGCACGTACCATAAAAATACATTCCTTTCCCCCCACACCCCTCCCCAAAGCATTCTCAGCATTACAGACTGGCAAAGCCACAAGGAACAAAGATACACAGAGACACTGAGAATGGTCTCTGACAAACCTATACATTCCAGTTACTAGGAAAAGTTCTTCCACCAAAGAAGTATGTGCTCAAAGACCACCATCTCCATCTGGGCATTTCTCAGGGCTAAATTCTGTAGTTGCCAAAACAGCTAAGAGAAGAAACTTCCAAAACCTGACAAACAAAATCATCAGCTTTCTTGGCATTTTCCTGAGGTCATAAAGGGGCTGGGAGGTTCCTCTTCTGGCTGCTCTGGCTCCTGCCAGGACGGGTCACAACGGCAAAGGCAGGTAAGCACTTGCATTATAGCTCGGACTGTGAGCGGGAGATACGCGGCCCCTTGCGAATCTCCTTCCGTTTCTCCTCTTTTTTTCTTCGCTTCTCTTCCTCCCGGAGAGCCTTCTGGAATGTATCTGCACTGGGAAAAAACTGAGAACAAAAGGAATGAACTCAGCCAGGTCAAATGGGCACATGGAGCATTTCCCCCCCACACACAAACTTTGTACAAAGTTACTGTCACCTGGACTACTTACACTAGTTTACAGCTCCATAATTTTTGTGACCTTCAGAAGGCACCAATCCAGTACTACACCTGCATGGGAAAGTACCTCTTGCTCTCCTCATGGGTTCTTTCAGTTCCATTCCAGAATAGAAACTCACCAACAAAGAGAGAGACTTGCCAAGATCCAAACTGAAAGGCTTTCTACACAAACTCATACTATATTTCTGCCCCAGAAAAGCCACTGTTAATGATATCCTGCCTTACCTAATGGATCAGGGAAAGGGAAAATAATCATCTTCTAGCCTTATTTTAAAAAAAATACCACCCCCCACCATAGCAGTTTCCCAATTTATCTTTATGCCACACAGTCTTGGTCTGAATTTACTTCCATTATGATCCTGTTGAGATACTTGATGGGCTTGATGGCCTTTCTAGGGAAATCACATTGACCAAGATACAGAACTAAATGTAAAGAGATCAAGAATCACCAAAGGAGTGATGGGAGGATTCACATGGTGTTGGAAGGGGCCTTCTAACCCAACCCCCTGCTGAATTCAGGAGTCTAAAGCTAAAGCATTCCCAAGACAAGTCTTGGTCAAGTCTCTGCTTGAAGTCCTCCTCTAGTTAATTGGCTACATTGTCTTAACTGCTCGTACATTAGGAAACCTTTCATAATACTTAACCAAAATCTGGCTTTCTGAAAATTAAGCTAATTAATCTTACCCTCTGTGGCAGAGAACAAAATCTTTGCCCTCTTCCATATGACCTTTCCGGTATTTGAAGAGGACCACCATATCTCCTCCAGACTAAACATACTCCGCTTCCTTCAACCTTTCCTCATGGAACCTTTTTCCAGAACCCCAACCATGTTTATTGTCCTCCACTGAACCCATTCCAGTTTGTATACATCTTTCTTAATGTGTGGGTATCCTGAACTGGGCACAATACTCTAGATGAGTGCTGCCTAGCATGGAATTGAGTGGAACTATTACTTTGCATGAATTGGATACCGTGCTTCTATTAATGCATACTAAAAACTGCATTGGCCTTTTGTGTAGCTACATCACAACTGCTGACTCATGTTCAGTTTGTGTGTTACAAAATCCTTTTCACACCTACTATTGCCAAGCTGAGTGCCCCCTATCCTGTACATTTGATTATTTTTGCTTAAACAGGAATTACCAAAGGAAACAAGACCTTGATGTCATCAAAATATGGAATAAATAGCACCATGCATCTCTCCCAAATGACTAGGAACAATATTGAGGGACTTCAGGGAAAAACAGCATCTAGGTGGAAAGCAGCCAACAGAGTGTGGAATAGAATATTACTTGGGATTCTGCCATCAACTCTTTATTCTGTCACAGAGCACCTGTATAACCTTGGCCAAATACCTCAGTCACTTCTCTGTAAGAGGATGATAAATTATAGTCCCTTATCTCAAATGTGCCCAACAGCACAAATGCTAAGTGGCTGAATGCTATCAAAACTGGGTTCCTGCAACTCCCTGGCAGAGACTGAAAGCAGTCTTATGTATTGCAGTCTTTGCCAAAACACAGCATGCAGCCACCGATCCAGTAAGAAGATAAATTGAACTGGGCAACTGAGAGCAGCTGCAGATAAGATGATCTTGCAGATGAGATGATCCTGTGAAGCAACACTAAGCACACAAAGACTTCTTGTATTCAGCTGCAACAATGGATTATCACGTCTGAAGGGAAACTTGCATAGGCTGTAGTCACAAATCTTTCCTGTTGCAAGCTCCTCTTTGGGAGGCAACAAACCCACACCACCAGCTGAACATTGAAGGGAGCATCCATTTAGCTGGTTGCACAGGGTCAGTACAATCGGTTGGATCCAGTGCAGTGTTTCCAAGGACACAAAGGCTTCTGCCTCTGGAGCATAATGTTCCTGACTCCCCTTTCCCTGACTCCCTTTCCCTTGATAGCCTGAAGTGTCTCCACTCCCTCAGGAACATTATTTTGGGAGGCAGGAGGGGGAAGTTGGGAAAGTCATGCTTTGCAGGTGGAAGGCCTTGCACTTGTAGAAATACCACAGTGGATCCAGCCCATTGGAAGCTACTGTCTGCGGAACAGGCGCTTCTACTTATCTGTCACCAAGCAGTGCTGTCACTCCTCTTGCATTATCAAGCAACATTTCTTTCTCAAAACTAGGTAATCAGAAAAGGGGAAATGTGGTAACTGACTCTGAAATTTATGGTCTTACTTCAGAATGGTCTGTTTTAAAGGGATTCCGGTAGTCTGGAGATTTCTCGCTAATTCCCAGTTCCTGAGCCATCTGTAGAGGAAAGTACACCAAAATAGCAAAGATCAATTCCATTCCCATTTATGTAATCTTCTGCTTCCCAGCCCTTTAATCCTTTTAGTTTCCTAGTCCTGATTTGGTGTTTTAGTGCAAACCCCAAAAATGTGGGAAACACTACCACCTCCTTCTAAATCAAGGTTTTGCATGATCCTGTGTTTGGGGTGTGTGTGCGTGTGAATTCACACTACTCTGTAATTTACCCACCAGCTGAACAGACTATCAGGGATAAGCACAGGCTACACCCACAGGCTTCAGCCATTTGTATGAACAGCATATCAGAGCAAATACAAATGTGCAATGATGCCATTAATGCAACTTCATGCATAACTAAATTCTTACAAGACAATTTTCCTGAATGCATTAACAAGTGACCCTTGTCATGTATGTCAATCACACCTGCATGTATTTCACTGCCTATGAATTCAGTACTCATAACAAGAAGTTGTGACCAAAACTTCTCAACGTGTGCAGACACAGTGAAATCCACATCTGTGTGAGAGGTTGCACATTACCATCAATATGTAGGTTTCATATTAATTCCTAAATGAAAGTGTGTTGTTTTTTCCATGTAGGAATTTCAAAATCTCCAAAGTAGACTCTTTGAGTTTTTATTCTCCTCTACGCATATTCCTTTGCCTGATTTCTACAAGGCAGGATCTGTGCTCACTTCTTGTCACTCCTGTTTGCTACCCTATCCTAACAAAAAGAAATGAAAGACAAAAGAATCCAAGCAACCACACTGCCTTACCAGTCCTAGTACTTGCGAGTGGGAACCTTGATCAAATACACCAGTCTGGTTGCAAAAGCCAATTCCCCAGCGGATCAGGTTGTTCCAGTTGGAGTTGCGGTCAAAGTAATGGTGTACTATCTTGGGAAAGCGCAGGACTACATCACCGAAGAAAGCAGTGTTCTCTACCACATGGGAATATGCTAAGGAAAAGAAGTCAAGGGGGGGGGGGGAAATCAAGAAGTACTTTTACTCGCTTTCTCACTGGTAAACATCAGATCAGTTCCTTGTCTCCTGGAACCCCAAATTGCAGTGCAGATCACTTACCTCGTAGCATGCGTTAATTTTTTTTCTTCAGGATTGATTAAATAATGTTTCATATTCTTTTCTTCAGGATTGATTAAATAATGTTTCCTATTCTTTACACTTTTAGGGGGGAGGAGTGGGGATTTTAGCCAATATTAGCAACTGTGGTCACTTGTCCCTGCATTCTTTAGTTTGGATGCTATTGGAAAGCTGGTTTCTTCCCCCAAAGAAACCCTCTGTTTGGAATCCTCTGTGTCACTGCACTCAATGTTCCCTCTAAGCTGTGAAGTCTTGTGAGCAAAAACTTTACTTTGTGAGCTACTGCCATTAAAGTTGTGAGCAAGCAATTTAGCTACTGCGTAAATTAGTTTGCTCTGGAGCCCTCCTTCCTGAGCTAAGACAAAAATGTGTGAGCCAGAGGCCAAAAAACTGTGAGCTAGCTCACACTAACTCAGCTTAGAGGGAACCCTGACTGCACTGCACTGGAAACTGCAGCAATAAAAGAGCTTCCACAGAAAACTGCCACCGTGTGGAAAACTTCTGTGTGCATGCAGGTTTAAGTACTCTGGGTTAAACAATCCCAAGTAACATAGTGCAATCTTGTGTACAAAACATTTGAAAAGAGCAGTCTTGCCCTAACCTGGACAGCCGAGGCAAGCCCAACCTCATCAGATCTCCGAAGCTAAGCAGGGCCGGCTCTGGCAAGTACTTGGAGGGGAGCAGTCAGGAGGCGGGGGCAGGCTTCATTCAGCCACCTCTCTGAATATCCACCAGGCCCCCAGTAGGGATCAGTCACCACAGGTCGCCATGACTTCTAGGTGCACGCATACACACTCACACACACACACAAATACGGGGGGAAATACCCTCCCCCCCCCAAAAAAAAGAGCAGTCTTTGTGGAATTCATACACATGTTCACGTCCCAAACCTGTGAGTTATAAGTTACAGGGAAAATATGGGTTACAAGTTTGGCTGGAAACCAGTAGAGTATGTTATTCAATCAAACATTATATTTTTCTTTCTTCTCTTTGCTGAAAAGAACACAGTAGCAATGGTTTTAAAAATTAAAATTTCTTCTTGCATTACAGGAGAAATTGACCGGTAGCAGCTACAGTCTACATTTGTCTCTGACCCAGAAGTGGCATTTGAAGGTCTCTCTCTGTCCATTCACCACAAGCATGGATGACAAAAGTAACTAGGGATATATACCCCAGAGAGCACTACGGTCTGGGTCACAAAATCAATTGGCCCTCCCAGGTCCCAAGGACGCCAGGCTAGTTGTAACCAGGGCAAGCGCTTTCTCAGTGGTGGCTCCATACTGGTGGAATGAGCTCCTGGAAGAGATCAGGGCCCTGCGGGACCCTTTACAGTTCTGCAGGGCTTGCAAGACGGAGCTCTTCCACCAGGCTTTCAACTAGGAGCTGCCACCACTATTAACAACTGCAACAGCCTGTAGAGCCTGGTCCATGGTTGGTTATTTTTAGCCTAGGTGCGCCGACTACATCTGAAGAAGATCAGTGAGCTGGAACTTAAACAACTACGGAATGCACTCACGCGGTAATGCCATCATTACGACATCAAACAACAAAGCTAGCACTTTAACATTGTATCGTTTTAATGAATTGTTTTTAAATGTTTTATGAACTTTTGATTGTTATTGTGAATTTTATCCTGTGTAAGCCACCCTGAGCCTGCTCTGGTGGGGTAGGGTGGGGTATAAATCGTAAATCAAACAAACAAATAAATAAATATGGGGTAGGGGAGCAGGAGGAGAGCACAGAAACTACTTACCACCCTCCAGCTAACAGCAAAAACAGCTTTAATGAACATACAAATGGGGGGGGGTCCTTTTAAAAAAATCTGTATGATCCCAATTCCCAGACATACTACTTCAGTGACATCAAAACATGCAGACCGACGTCCTGCACAAAATAACTGGCATATCTGTTTCTTTACCATCGTGATGCCAGAAACTCTCAAAATGGGTAATGAGTAGCAAAAGCCACCACAGTAAATGCAACTATTGCCATTCCTCATGGTCTCGTAACTCCACATCTCTCTGCCCTACCAGACACAAAAATCGCTTTCCTGACAGCGATTTTTAAAAAGTCTCCTAAGGGTTTTTGTAGGAGGGCATGCTTGTTAATTTTTAAAGCATGTTCAATGTATCACTTTTTAAAAGGCTGTCATGGGTAAACTGCACAACAGTTTTATGGCTGCAGAATATGGACTTGCCTAACTATTGCTTATCTTTGCCATCACTAGAAGAGCCTTTCAGTCTCAGCCCACAAATCTGTTCAGCCACAAATCTGTTCATTTTCTTCAGACTTAGATATTCATGCATGTAGCATGAAATGCTGGCATTCCAGTGGCATGCATCAGGGAGATTTTTTAAATCAGAATCCAAAACACGAAGGTAGCAGACTTCAGCAACCCACATCCTCTCCATTCAACAACACTAGCCTAGTCCAAAAGCATTAACTTTCCATTGTATACACAGGAGGAACAGCCAGAGTCTGTTCTGTTCTGCTTCATGTGCCATATGCTATGCAGCCTCAACTTGGCTCCATTCCCATTCCAAGACCTTTACAAATATCAGAAATGATGACACATGAGAACAGAAGCGACACGGGTGGCTGAGGAAATGCAGCCAAAAAGGCAAGGGAGCTGTAATGCAATAGTCACTCACAATCACAGGCTTAAGGGATACACAACGCTGGAAGGGGAAACTAGGCTTTAGAAGGCAAAAAACTCCCACCATCCTTCAGCTTCTCGTCCTGAGGGAATGGCCCATCTGGCGGGACATCTGCTGCAATAAGTATTGCCCGCGAGTCTTCAAGTACCTGCACATTGCAATAGAAAGCAATTCCATCTTATTCCTGCTCCTGGCAAAAGCTCCCTTCTTCCCCTCCAGTGTCAACGCAGGCCCCTTTGCAACCCCCCAACATTTCTCTTCTGCTTTTTTGCAAGTAGATGCCCAGCTACTGACACTGTTAAACAACACAGTAGGATGCTGAGCTTGTTGGCCAAGAAGGTAAGAGCTGCAGAAAACTGGCAAATGAAAGCGGCCTTGGTTACCTTCTTCATGTGATGCAAAGGCCATCGTAACACAATACAACCAAAGTTCCAGCTATGCTGGCATGAAATGGCTATTAATTCACAAACCCGTGTCACTTGTCAAATGCCAATTCAATAACTTCTTTACTTGCTTAAACCCAGCCAATCAACATTAGCCCAAAACAAAAAACATGTAATGCTACTTTAGAAAGCACAAAAAAGAAAAAAAGAAAGGGGGGGGGACCCTCAGATTCATGCCCTGACAAACTTTTAGGGAATGGCACTCTCCTTTATGAAGCTGATATTGTAAGTAGCCTCCTACATACTATTATGCACAGACTGCATTGATCAGATGGCACTCATGGTTTCAGGAGTCCCTACAGTACTGAAAAACCCCCACCATACTTCAGAACATATACTCCATACCAATGTTCCCTCTAAGCTGAGTTAGTGTGAGCTAGCTCACAGTTTTTTAGCCTCCGGCTCACACATTTTTGTCTTAGCTCGGGAAGGATGGCTCCACAGCAAACTAATTTATGCAGTAGCCAAATCGCTTGCTCACAGCTTTAATGCCAGTAGCTGACAAAGTAGAAATTTTGCTCACAAGACTCCACAGCTTAGAGGGAACATTGCTCCATACTGAGGAATTGCTAACTAGACAGCTTCTCAAGGGGTACCATTTCCCTACTTCTTCTACCACCAACCCATACATAAGAAGGTTGTGTGGAGAAAGCATCAGGTGCTAAATTTGCCCACTATCAACTTTCTGGAATCACCCGTCCCATCAGTTGCTCCAGTCCAGATAGCTGCTGACTCTTCCTATTAACTTAACAGCAGTGTTTTTGAGGCTACCCAGTAAACATCCAGCAGCAAACATTCCGTGCTCAGTCGTGTTAAGGCTTACTTTGAATAGGCCCTTGAGCATGATGTCTATGATCTTGTATTGCTGGTTAACATCATCAAGTTCAATGAGGTTCTTCAGCGCGTTCATCTGGTCTTTGCGCTTCACTTCAAACAGCTTCTTATCTGCAGCCTAGTTAAGGATCCACGCATGGGAGAACATCCAAAATCCTGCCCCATGTCACCCTACTCCAACTCCAACCCATCAACCCAACACAATCATCTTTTAATTTTTTTTAATTTTTTGAAAACAAAAAGATAATAAAAAGAAAACACAGAAAATAAAAAAATATTACATATCATAATTATTATATATCAAAAGGGGTGTGTGTGTGTGTGTGTGTGTGTGTGTATAACAAAATATATGGAATAGAAAATATTTCTCCCCACCACCACCTTTATTACATTGAAAGGTTTTTGGGTCACTGTTTATAATTACTATAAAACTTACTTCTTGTTGGGATACATTTATATTCAACATTTTACACTTCAAATTTTGTAACTAATCTGTTTTTCAACTGAATTAATTTCACCATTGCTACATATCTTTGCTACCATTGCTTTTTTCCCCAATCTCAGAGAGGGGAAAAAAGCATCTAAACATACCTGGGTTCCCTGCCTGCCCCTCTCCAGTTGCGCAGCAGCTACCTAGGGGCAGCTGGAGAAGGGAAAGAAGAGAGGAGGCTTTCCCTGGTCAGTTTCACTCCCACAGCTGACTGGCAGAGAGTGAAATTGACCAGGGAAGCCGCAGGGGGAGGGAAGTCAGTATTCAGCTACACAAAAGCCAAATAAATTTGGGAAACTTTATTCGGCAGCCAAAAAGTTTCTCAAATTTGCATTTGCTTTGAAAATACCGGAAAATACCGATAAGGTATTTATTTGGTATTTTTTCAGTTTGGTAAAGCCAAATGCACATCCCTAAAGGTAATATAACAAAAATACAAAAGAGAAGACGATTATATATCTTATAACAGAAAATTTAAAAATGTTTCTCCTCAAAACCCAATTCCTTACACACATTTATACTTAACATGTTACACTTAGAACTGATTCTCACTCTGCCTCTTCGTTGCAATATATTTGTATACAGTATTTTAGAGTTTTTCTCATTCTACATTTGATTCCTATTTGAGTAGTACACACTCCATCTCTCCTCAAATTTCATAACTGATCTATTTCTCAAATAAATCATTTACTTTGCCATCACTGCATATTACAAAGCAAGAGGGGTCACAGGTGTCCAATAGGAAAACACACCAAAAATCCTGTGATGAGAACATTATTAAGAAAATTTATATAATTTGTTAGACTTTATAAAATGCAAAAGATTTTGTCAACATCCTTATTTGTACAATATTGTAAATAACAAGTCCAATATAGTCCAACATGATAAGTACCCGGTATGAACATACAGAAAGGGGCACATAACCTGCTATGAGGGCATAGTCTGGCACACAACATCACCTCAGCACCCTTAAATTTCTGCCCCATTTCCACCCCTTCAGCCACCAGGGATGACAGACCTAGTTGCTGCCACTGGGGTTTGTACTTGGAGGCAAGGGAACATCTAGGTTTTTCTCCCTACCCGGGTTATGTACAAAAAGGATCCCAACCTCCTCAGTCTCTCTTTATAAGTTGTGCCACATAGCAGACCTGAATGGCCTCAGATGAGACAAACCTCACACTCCCTGAACCTCCTCTCAGACTACTCTTTACTCAGAAGTGGGAAGAAAAAAAGGAATTTATTGAAAGAAAATAGGAAACAAGACAAAGCAATATACATAAATCCCCAAGGCGTTTGGGGAATCTTGGGTACAATACTTATTAATAATACAACTTCAAGTGGTAAAGTTACAAAAAGGATACTCATAAGCCCTAACACATCTAGCTAACATCTATTATGATTTCTGTCACCTTCTTCCCCTTCCTTGAAGATGACATGAACCTCAAAACCAATGCCAGCTCCTCCAAGCAAGCCACCCGCAATGGAACAAAATCTTTTCTACTCTCTCCCAACCAGTGTGCTGTGGCAACAGAATCTCTACTTGGCACAGTACCTACATATGACAAGGTGTGTGCAGAAGTCCTGGATTAACATCAAAAGGTGCTATGCAATTGAGGAGTTCAGAAACTACCACCTGTTTGCAGCTTTTCCTTATGCAATTTCTGTTCTGAATGCTGTCCTCCTGAGATCCAAACTAGACAAGATGTTCCTTTGCAAGGCAGGTCAGAGTTCCCAACGGTCTTCTTTCTAAATTCTCCTTCATGATACTAAATACTGCATAGGTATTGTTTGCCCCCCAAAAAAGGGCAAACAACCCCCACCCCCGGCCATTTTGGGTCAGGAAAACAATGGGGGGTTCAAGCCTCTTCTCCCCTTGGGCTGTGGTCCCAACATGGTTCTCACCTTATCAAAGTAATTGCGTCCAGTATGAGAATTCAGCGCAGAGGAATGCTCTGCCAACTGTTCATGTTATCAATGAAAATTGGAAGCAATAAAACAAACAAATCAAAGCCAACTTCGGTTCCCATAGTAATGATTAAGGAAGAAAACAGAATCACATTACTTTTCAGTTTTGCAAGACCTTTTCTCAAAGATTCGAAGATAAATAAATAAATAAAAATAGCATCTCTAAGGCTAGAGAAGCTCCAAGGCTTTTACTGTGTGCAATCTAGATTTAGAAAAAATCCCAGAAGTAATATACCAGATTGATTTTACAAGCAGTGGCTTTTAAAGGACAGAAGATTTCCCTTTTCAGACTTCAAAGATCTGCATAAAAATCTGTGTGAATGAGCAGTACTTGGTGTGACAGAGGAAATAAACAGCCCACATATACTATACATGTGGCACTTAACACACAAAATGACTGAAACTCTTAGAATAACAGCAGATTAATAAAATTTAACAGTCTCATACATCAAGTGGAGAAGGTAGACTTGCTTTGCTGGCAAAATCTAAATGGCTGTACAACTAAGTACTATAAAGTTCCAGTACAACCAACTAATGACTCTAAAACAGATTTCATTTGGGAATTTCCAATTTAGGAAGATGCCTAGAGGTCTGAAAAACAAACTTGCTCCTAATCACAAGACAACAGGGTCATATACCTGAATGAAGTCATTGCAGTTTTGGATGATTGCACAGCTTTTCCCAACTGCCTAGTAACATGAAAAATTAAACTGCAATAGTATGGGTTAAAACTGGCCAGTACTTCCCAGAAGGGAGTAAAGCAGGTTTCTCACAACAAGCAAACCTATATGCACTTGTTTCTATCATTATAACCGTATATAATTTATTCATGCCTTTATTACAGAAAATATCTGTGCGCACAGACAATACAGTCATGCACAAATATCCTTATACTAATAGCCAAGTTGCCCCCTCCGTGCGGATACTTAAATTAGCACGGAGGGGGCAGCTGGGGGGGCCGGGTGAGGTTTGTGCACACGTGGGCCAGTCCCCACGCGTGCACAAAAATAAAAAAAGTTTAAAAAAAATTCGGGGGGATGTTAAAATCCCCCCGAAAGTGCAAGAGTGTCTCCTGCGCGTGCGCAGGAGACGCTCTGCTAACGCTGCCGCCGGGTGGGTGGGGAGGGAGGGAGGCCGGGCGAGGAGGAGAGGCCTCGCTGCCGCCGCTGCCGCCTCCTCCCCGGAGCCGGCAGGCTGGCCGGGTAGGTAGGTAAGGCGGGCGGG